CGACCGCAAGATCACGTCGGCATCGGGGCGATCGAATGGAGCTGTGGCCATTGTGGTGACTGGCTTTTCGAATGGCATTCTGACTCCAAAGAGATCAATCAAGTAGCTCGCATATCGTCAGGACATGAGCTTCAAGAAGGCAGACGTACTATATACTAAGGTGCGATATTAATTGATCTTGGCGTGAATCTGACGATGATATGTACCCGTCAGTGAAAGAGTGCGAAAGGTTGAGGTATTCCTACACAGCGATTGGTTGTATTCCCTTGAGATTCTGGTATACACGACTACTTGCGGTTGAAGGACGAGACCGAGGCGAATTCGAAGTGTCAACCGAGACTCTGCTCAAACTGGCACGAGGACCATCGATGCCGGTTGATGCCGGTCGTACAGATTCAAGTTCGACCAACTCGACCGAAACATACCGCAGGCTTGCTATATACTACATCCATGAAACTGGGAAATACAGCATGAACAACGTATGCTTTAGCTCATCAATTTTTCATGAAAAACCTCGGAGACGATAGGACTCTGAACGACTACCCAAGCTTTGCTTTGCACGCGACGTGCCTCCGCAAAAGTCCCGGGTAAAGTTAATTGAACAAAATATCTGTGCTAACCTACATCGAGGATGAATTGGATTAGTTTCGCTCGTAAGGATAATTGTCCAACCATGGCGGCCTACCTCTGAAATGACCTTATCCACCGCATCCTCGAATGCTGAGCAGAACGCGAGAACCTCTTTTATACGCATCATGCAGGAAAGACATCCCATTTCCTTCACTAAAAACGTGATCGTTTCCAGACGAAATGTGGATACGGATGGTTGTACTTCCAAGCATCGTTTGGCTCTGACCACGTATGATGAATACCATTTGGGACTTGCATAGCGATAAGAATTGCCATTACATGGACTCTTATCACACGTCACGAGGGTAAAGCTGGATGAAGCTTCCAGATCTTTACGTGTCTGGCTATCAAAGAACGATCTAGCTGCCTGGCCGCACCTTTTGTGAAACTGCAGTAGGCGATAGTAGGGTCCGGTCGGAACTGCCTCAAGTGCCCCCACGTATGTGTTCACCAAGTCGTTGTATGTGCGGGACAGGAGGCTTCTGGCCGAATGTATGACTTGCTCCTTCAAACCGCGGGAACACGCAAGGAGGTAGGAGCTGAGAGGATCGGACGCCACAAATTCCGACCATTTCGGGAGGAGGATCCATGAAACGCGTTGTAGCTGGTATTTGTTGGCCGCATCGAGCAAAGAGGGTAATGCAGCATTGTCGACGGAAATCGGTAGACCTGAAGGATAAATGAGCTGCAACAAGGGCTGCAATATGTTGCTGCGCTCGCTGATCTGGAGGATCCTTGGCCCACATGTTTCCTCATTATAACTAGCTGGGCCGCTCTCCGAAACTTGCTCTTGAAGTAAAGTAGTCCAGACTGGAGATGCAGACGTAATGATACTCTTGTGAACGCAGAAGCGCATGTTATCAGTGGTCACCATCACAACATCGGCGTCGACAGCATCGAATGGAGATGGAGCGTTGCGCTCCGTCAATTCCGTCTCCCTCGAAGGCCCCTTGGTAGCAATATTATGTTTTGGACGACAAAATACAAATACGGTGGAGTTGTTGACCCGCCGCTGATATTGCAAAAGTCGGTAATAGCAGCCTGCGGGCATGTCCTCCAGCTCGGGAACATAGGAATCTGTCACAGCGTTTTTCTGCACCGCCTGTCGAGCAGCTACCTTCGCCAAACGATCTAGCCCATGTCGTGCAGCGATGGCATACACACGCAGAGGCTCCGCTTGAACAAAGGTCTCCAGCATCCGCGTCGCGAATTGTTTGACAGTAATCATGTCATACTTCAACGCCGCGTCTAGGACAGAACGCGCCTGTTTTACCGTGGTTATGAGTGGAACGGCAACAGGATAACAAACTCGGAGGAGGATATCAAGGGTGGCACTGTCCTCGGGTACGTCGATTATTGGCCTATCGGTCTGATTTTCGTTATGAGGAACCGGCAAATGGAACATGTCCTCGAAGAAAGGCGAAGCCATCATGAGGATGTTGCGATGGACGTGGAAGTGGAAGTGGCTCCCGTTCGACGACCGAAGAATTACGTCGGCATCGGGGCGGTTGAACGGTGATGCCGCGACTTGATAAATTGGACCCTTCATACTGGGGAAGACAGGACGAGGAGTCAACGGTCTTATAGCGAGACTATTTCACGAACTGAGCGCACCTGTTTGCGCCGTATTTGAAAAGCGCCAGTTGGGTTACGAAGATAACTTAACAAACAACCTGCCAGTGGCCAACCTGCTTACTTCGCTCGCTGGAGGAACCGTAGGTCGGACAAGTTGAGTCGGGCTCAGGCGGACGCGGTCATGGCCACGGCCAGCTACAACAAGTAGATTCGTGGCGAATCTACAGGCTTCAACTCGGTAACGAAGGACGGAAATTCAAGTGAGGAACTGTGGTTAAACGAAAAAAAAAGGCTATATGATACATGACGAGCGTGAGACGTCAGTCAGGACGAGACATCAATTAGTGTAAAGAGCAAACGTACCGACGGACGAGTACAAGATGATGGCGATCACGACGAGAGCAGGGAGAAAACCCCTGGTCGTTGATGGCTGAGTAGGCGTTCATCCGCGGACAGGAGGCTTATTCAGACATAGGAGCTGTCCGACGCGATGGATAAGTGTTATCGCCCAAACGCGGCGGGCAGGTGTCGCTACTCGAACGCGGCGAGTAGGTGTCGCTGCTCTCGCGGAGAGCAGGTGTGGCTATCTGCAGCGGCAGACCGGTACGATGCCTGAGGCCTGAGGTCCACGGGTCACGGCTGCGTATTTAGGCAATTTCGTGAAAAACATTCATTTTTAACCCCATAAATAGGGTCATGATTGGCGCATTAGAACATTGAAGAGATCAAGATATATACATACTAGTCAAAAGCGCAATAAGAAGAGTACTTAACATTTCCAGGTGGATCGAAGCCTTATTCAGGCTGAACATTCACCACGCAACAAAGGAGTGATTTCTTCGTTATAATTTCGACGTCAGTGAAAGGCTCGTTTTGGAAGGTTGGAAATGCTTATCCAATTTCGTTGCAGCTACATTAAGTTTGATCGGACCCAAACCCCTCGCACATAATTTCGGTGGGATGCAAAGTACTTTTTTTTGTTTGGCGAGGCATGCAGCCATAAAATATCAAAGTCTGCGACTTCTCAGAAAGGGCCCTCCACAGCTACGACCCTTCCCTGGCGTGAAATTCGTTCTTTTGCCACGAAGTCTCATACCAGAATACTCTACCTCTCACTTGCGAGAAGGGTTCAGATCAGAATCATAGATCTAGACAGGATCCAGCACGGATCCAGCATATCAACGAAGTCGTCGGGATTGACCTTCAGGTTTTATCCTAGAATACTCATGCGCATGTTGTCGCCTGGCAAAGGGCGCAACCAGATGTGAGAAACGTTCCCATGTGCGCGTGTCTTTCGCTCGTCGAGCTCACGTCGTGCAGCTGATGCCAACGCGATCGTGGTGTCGCCATTAATATTCAACACCGTGTCAAGTGCATCCCTGCCCTGTGTCATCGGGCTTACTCTGACAAAACCTGGACGGATGCAGACCGTCGAGACCTGCTGAGTGAGCGATCGATTGCAGCGGTAAAATGGACTTTATCATTTACGCGTGAGTACTAGCCTCGATCACACTCATCTGCGCCGGAAGAGCCGAAGAAACTAAGAACGGACGGCAGCGTCGGAGACTACTGGGCTTTTCGACCACAAAAGCCAAGAGCGATTGTTGCGTCCCACCGCAGCTGCGCATGAACCGCGAGAAAAGCCCCACAAGGCCAGCGCAAGCCCGGAAAGCCCAGGACTCCAGAGGGAACAAGAGCGACCCATGACCGCCCAGGACGCAGAGAGGCCATATGCAGTGCGTCCGACTACTTACCGCGATCCGTGCGGCTTGGGGCTGGGAGCGTGCGCGCCCGACCCGTGCGCTGGTTCTAGAACATGAGCAGCACGCCGCCGCACGGCAGGCGGCAGGCGGAGCTTGGCACGCCCTCGCGCCGGAGCCTGTTGCGCACACAGCGACCAACGGCGAGAAAGAGCGCGACGCGGAAATCCTCGGCCTTCCCAGGTCGATACCTTGGCGATGAGATTCGGATCGGCGACGGTGCAGAACGCGCGGAAGAGCTGCACGGACGCTGCGCCCAGCCCCGCGACCTGGGCAGGCGAGTGTGAGTGCGCTGCGCACTGCGCACGGGCAGCTCTCGGGGGGTTGCGGAAGGGCGGCCGCGGCTTGGGATAACACAGCCGAGGTACTGCAGGGGCGCAGCTGCAGCTATCTGTCTGCGCCGCTGCTCGAGAGTGCCTTAGCACGCTGCGTGAGATCACGCTGTGAGGGTAGCCTGATAAGGGCATCATGGCGTTGTTGTTGGACATGCGAGCGAGATTGCGACGCCGCGGCGGGGCTGTCATTCTGTTTGCCAATAAGTAAGGGGGACTAGTGCGACCGGAGTGCCGACGGATCTAAATTGCGTCCCAGAAGGAAGAGACCGATACTAGTCTACTTCAGGGTGTGGCGGCAGTGATTCTGTGCGTCGGCCGCGAAGGGCGGCCTCGGCGATGCGAGTACGGGGGCTGGGCGGAGGATGACGGAGTGGGGCGGAGTAGGCCAGATTGCTCGCTACCTAAGAAGGAAGCTGTGGCAGCCGGCAGGGACGGGGGGCGTATGGGTTCCCCACATTATCCCCACAATTCTTGCACCCCAGATGTGGCGGCCGTCGCTACGAGGTCACGATGGGCCACAACGCCACTGCGGAGATGATGCAACGCATGCATCCGTGGGGCCAGTGTGCGCGGTGCGGGGAACGCGGGGGCTGGAGGCGATGCCTGTGCCGGGGCCATCAAAGCAGGTTGTCAGGCGGGATGGTGCCGTCATGATCCATCCTGCGTGGCAGTCGGTCGGTGCCCAATGCCCATGGCTGGAGCGGGCCATCGCGCACCAAGTGCCGTAAGCTGCGAGAGTGGCCGACGTCTGCGAGGCGGTCTGCTGGCCTGCCGAGTTGCGCCGACGGCGAATGTTACGAGAGGCGTCGGTGGTGCGCGGCTCACAGGACCAGCAGAGACCACAAAGCGCCCAGTCACGCGGGAGCAGGATCAGAGATGGGGGCGGGCGCATCGACGCTGGCAGCCAGATTGGGAAGAAAGCAGGAAGAGGGGGAAATGACTAATATTGTGGTGGGTCAGCGGGTGCAGATGGCTGCGAGATTGAGCTCAAGAGGGCTATGGCAACTGACGATCACCGGAAATGCGTTGCGGGCGGGCAGCGTGGAAGGAAACAAGGTCCGTGTGTGTCGTCCAGCTGGCACAGCGGCCGGAGTCAGAGTCAGATGATGGCGACCTGCAGACCATGCATGCATCGCAGGGTGGACCCAACATGCACGGAGGCGGATACGAGGGCGTCCGGGGGAGGGGATCTGGGCGACTGACTGAGCGATGAGCTTGGCTGAGACGGTCGGAGAGATGGGGGCTGCGGGATGGGCGCATGCAAAGTCACCCAAGTCGGACATGATCCGGACACTGCTCAAGTGGATGTTCCTGTCCCGGTGGGAGTCTCCCCGGCCGCGCGCTGCATGGAGCTACCTCGGCTCTTCCACGTCTCCCGGTCCGCACACTCACTCCAGCGCCCCCCACACCGCGAAAGAGAAACACAGAAGAAAAAAAATAAAACAAATTTTAGCCAGGGGCAAGGGGGATCGATGCTGAGAGGGGAAAAAAAAA